CGAAGCAATGAGCATGAAACTGAGCAAACTGAGGGAGGCAGTGAAGGACAGGAAGGCCTGGCGCAATGTGGTTCATGGGATCACAAAGAGACACGACTTAACGACTGAACAACAACAATCATCATTCTGGACCACCTGCAAGGGTTGGGAATTGAGTCCTAAGGCAAGACTTGAACTCACAGTCTCCTGGTTTCTAGCCTGGAGCCTTAATCACTACCAAACTGGCTCTCCTCTTTAATAAAACTGAGTTGCATGAAACTTAAGCAATGGCCTCATGCTGGGTTCTTTAATAGCCCTCTCCAATGATCTTGCAGCGCAGTCCTGATCGCGCTGCCCTGCATAGGGGCAGGCAAGCTCGGCTACGCAGAATTGTGCCTAACATGTGCAAATCCAGCCAGTGTGAGGCTGCTACTAGCGTGTAACATATCTGAGAAGGAATGATGTAGATCAGAACTAGAGGGCAGCAGGTGGGAATATAAGCCATGAAAGAATATGTGCTGGAAGTAAGTCCTCTTTTCCACGCGGTTCGGAATATCCTTTGGAATGCCGCGGCCGCTGCTGACGACGCAGCCATTTACTCTGAGATAAAACGAGTTTTCTAGATCGACAGTAGATTTCATCAAGCTTCTTCTGAGGAAACACGCTCAGGGCCGAGCTTTTCGGCACCCGCGGACCCAGGCACGGAGGGAGAGACCGCCGCTCTCAACAGAGGCCTTGCAAGACCCGGGACGCGAAACGCAGCGGGGCGCCTTGCGTTTGGGCGCCCGCCGCCCGCCGGGCTTGCCAGCAAGGCTCCCCGCGGGCCCGCGCCTCCTCTCCCTCCCCGCTCAGGCCAGAGCGGGCTCCGAGGGACGAGGAGGAGGCGGCGCCGGGGAGGAGCCAGACGCAGGCGGATTCAGGCTCGGTTGTCCTCGCAGCCGCCGGCCTCTCCTGCGCCCAGCAGCGGCGGAGAGCGCGCGCGGGAGAGGGACGGAGCGAGCTTGCGGAGCGGCCACGATTCCCGGGTGCGTAAAGCCGGCGGGGCTTAAGATGGCGGGAAGCCCGGGGGCTGCGTTCGGCGCGGGTGAGGGGGTCGGGAGCCCGGGGGAAGGGGCGCGAGAGCCCGGCGCTCTTGGCTGGCGGGCGGAGGCAGGGGCGGGATGCACCGGGGCTCCCCTTTGGAGATAAAGGGCAGGGGGAGCTTCTCCCGAGGAGAGGGAGCGCGCGCGCTCTTCCTTTCGCGGGAGGGCTAACTTGGAGCGTGGGAATGCGAGCGGCGTATTAAAGGGCGAAGGGGGAGTCCTGCAACCTTGGGTGCGGATGCCCGCTGGTTCCCCACCGCCGCCAGCCCTCCGCTCCCCCGACGGTTTATCCCCCATTGCGTGATGGCTTGTCAGGGGACTCTTCCCCCCGTCGGGGAACACGGGAGCCCCATCATGGCGTGTGCGTTTCGTACATGTCACCAAAGCGGGATCCTAAACTTGCTCATCAAGAAACAAAAGTGCCTGAGCAAGCATGGTTGGGAGCGAGGCAGCCATCCACCGGGTGCCTTCCAGATGCGCGGGGCTACCCTTTGCATCACAGCCAGCCGGCGCAGCTAGGAAGAGCCAGCAATGTAGTCCCACGCTTTGGCTAGCAGGGTAGGTGTCTAAAGTTTCTTGTTTTTTTTTTTAAGGGGGGAGTTTGGCAAGGTGAGTTGATTGCCTGAAATAATAGGGAGGAGCTGCCAGGAGGATTGGGAACTTGTGGGGTGAGGCGGAGGGAAAGGATGTGTCTGCAGGGAATTAGAATCCATGATGTGTGCGCATGACATCTTAAGAATGCATAAGCAGGAAGGGATGTGCAGAAGAAGAGGGCGCATCCTTTTTCCCTGCAAGTCCAACTGGACTATGTGCTTTGCAGATTGCTTCCTATGTGCTATGTGTTACTGTCCTCAGTGGATACCTTTTAATGTCCCAAGGTAGCATAGCATTACTATATTAAGTAGTTTTGAAGATAAAAGAATAGGCAGAGGTGTTTAATTTGGCGCTTGCCAGTTAGTTGTGGTTTCCAGTCAGAATATTTATTTATTGCATTGCATTCCAGAAAATCCATTTAAGATTCAGTGCAGCACAGTCTTCACTTATGTTTCACTTTCTGTTCTGTACTGCTCTCCTGTCATGGCACTGATTGTACAATCCTGAATGTATGCACCAACCTAAACTAGGCTTTTGTGATGTGTGATTTAAGTAGACTTATAGCAGTCAAGTTATTTAAAAATTGGATGTAGCTTCATTTCTATTTGTTGCATAGCCTCAATCTGACCAGAGCCAGTCAGCTTGCTTTGCACATGAAAGTAGAGCTTCACATTGTGTAGTAAGATCAGTATCAAGCAGATTTTGATGCCTGGGTTAGAAAATTCAGATTGCACCTCCCGTTGTGGTGATATAATAATATTTAATAATAATTAACAAAGGACTGATTAGCAAGTCTTTTGCCCTAACCTGAGCCAACAGATTTTTTTTATCTCAACCTGCCTAATGACAGGTTCAGACTTCTCAGCAAGAGGATCAGTAAATGTTCCAAATTGATGGACCAGATCAGAATTGTCCAGTTTAGAAGTTTTCAGAGGTGTTGGACTGCCAGAGTTCTGAATCAGTGACGTGGGCTAAGCGTTCCAGTAATTGTATTCTATCCAGAATGTAGCAGCTTGGAGTAAGTTTTATATTTTAATGGTGTGGTAGCATGCCTATCATTCTCATAGTTGTGACTCAGAAGCCTCAGTCCATTTATGACTGTCTTGTGGCATCAGAAAGGCTAATCAATTTATTATTGTAATTTCTCTGATCGTTGTGAGCTGCCCAGAGTCACTGAGAGTTGGGTGACATACAAGTTTGTATGGTGGTAGGGGAAGGGTAAATGGTAAGGCCAGAGAGAAGTGAAATGTAGGAATTATAGAAAATAACTATTGATAGGGGTCGTTCACAACAGAGTGTTTAGATGTGACACAGATGTTCTCACATGGATGACCATTAATTTCACAGTTTATTCATTTATTACCCCCTCTCTCCTATTGGCCATGTCCATGCATGTTCCT